TTCGCCTCTCAATGACTTGTAAGGTTCCGTTGTCCTAATAAACGCTTATAGCTCGAAGATTGCAGAATTCCTTCATTAAAAAACTTTTCTCGTAGCATTATAAATGCACTAACCAAGATTACTGTCTAGATAAGATAAGCTTGAGATGACCAATGTGGTGTTATTTTGTTGTGTAAACGTTATTATCAAGATTTCCTTTTTTATATGATACGTTGTCGGATATGGTAACTGCTATTGTTGCCCATATCGCGGTTATCTCGGGAGGTTACCAAGCCGTTGCTGCCGCAGCTGCTGCGACCTGTTGAGATTGACCACGCCATTCGGGTTTTACGCATAAAAATTCAGTAATTCAAGCTACCTTCACATTAATTTCAATTAATCAAAAAATACCAAACAACGATCATTTTATTGACCACCTCTCAAAATCGGTTTCCACATCCATCATTGTTCAAGACTTTAACATCGTTCTTGACGTTTCTAACCTCTGTCTCTCTCTTGTCTGACACACCTTAATATCATTCATAGCTTTGTCAGTATTGTGCCTGTCAACTTTTAGACTTTCTGCACACAGAGATCATCTGGAAGTCATCCATCCAGCATAAATTTAGACGAGATCGTTGCAATTTGTTAACCAGGTTTGAATTGATATGGTATTAATTGCGTTCAAGAAGATATTGTATTCATATCTGATCTGGAAAGTTATTGAACAAATAAAAGGAGGTACCATATTTTACCGATTCTAAAACCTACCTTAATTTTTAAGTATTTTTTAAAAAAGTTACATTTTTACCATTTTGTAATGATTATCCAAATGACCATTGGATTAAGTTTAGTACCGCCAGCACAACATGAAAGGTTAATACAGTGTAATGTATTTTTTCATGTCCACTTGTTTTTATAGTTAAAGTTTTGCACCCTTTATGGCAACAATTCTGCTACTCGGCACGTCAAATGTCAGAGGAGTTTCGTCCATATTCGTTATTTGGATTAGTTCCACACTGGTTTTCTTTCGATGTTGAATCATAAAGCGATGTGGTATTTTCTGAGATTTGCGACAGAAACAGGGAGAACATCTCCAGCAAAGCATCCTCATTAAGAACAATTCAATACAGTAAAGTACATACTAAGAAAGAAAAAACAGGAGGATGATATGTATATGCCAGATGTGACCACAATAGACAGCGTACATAGGATTCCACACTATGGAACCATAGGATAACACACTATTAAAAAATGCCATATAAAGGGATTTAATGCTGGTAAAATTAGTAAAGTTTATACTTATTCTGATAACAAACCCCACATTGAGAGAAATATATTCTTGAACGAAGATTATTACTCTTGGCACAAGCTTATCATATTCTTGTATATCCACAAGAAGATCATTTTGTTGAGTGAAGAAAAACCACATATTCTCAAAGCAAGTATACAAATATTCTTGATTCTCAAGAAAACGAATTTTTAGTGAAAGTAAATCAATCATCTTGAAAAAGAGTGTCCAAACCCATTGACACAAGTATAGCCAAGAGTATTCTATGGGAAACCATATCGAAATCCAGAAGTACAAGAGCTGTAAGTTTTCCCTTGTCCTTAGCCGAAACAATATCATCAATCACGCAAGTCACCGCGGTGGCACATCCATATCCCGGTATAAAACCTGACTGATAGCGAGGCAACAAGTTAAAAGTGTTAATGGAGCTGAGTCTCCAACAATTTCTCAAATATCTTCGCTAAAGTAAGTAGAATGCTGATCGGTCTCAAATCCTTTACATCCTGCGCTGGGTTTCTTTTCGATATGGATATCACAAGTGACTCCTTCCATGCTTCAGGAAAAGTACAAGTATCTATGCGCTCATTAAAGACATGAGTAACATATTCAACGGCCGCCGGGAAAAACACACCCAGACATTTTGAGTTCAGTCCATCAGCACCTCAACCTGGGAAACGTGCTCGAAACGCATCCTCTGATCGGGTGAAATCAAGGGATTAGAGCGGTAGTGCTCAATGATCGTGTCGTATCGGTAATTGAGGCTGAGGCAAGACAAACTCAGAGTTAAGAAGGTTCGGGTCTATCAGAGCAGGAGGTAACGTTGTATACTCCTTGTTTGAAATATTACATTTTTTGATTTCTGACCAAAGACGCTTTTTGTTATTATGATGTCTGTCACACTGGTACTTAAAATGGGTACTTAAACTGGTTGCTGACAGCTTTGGTGGTTTCATTCCTTAGTGACTTATAGTACTCATGATGCGAAGCTCTTCCAGATCTCCGATAACGTTTCAAGGCCGCATCTCTCAGTCTCATCATGCATTTAATAGTATAAGTGATCCAATGTGTGGGCGGTCGCTTGGAGACAAATTCCCTCTGTGGACAATACTTATCAAGAAGGCGCAAAATATTAGAGTTGAAAAACCACAGTTTAACATTTACATCGCACATGTCGTAAATCAGATACCAGTGAATACTATAGAAATCCGCCATCAGCAGTTCGAAATTCAGATTATTAAACGATTCACTGGGAATTGGAATTCACAATAAACGCAGTAATGGTCAGAGATGTCGCCACAATCGAAGGTTCCGTGAGATTTCAACCCAGTTTCCTCATTGGTAATGATGAAATCAAGTAGAGTAACACTTGTCTGTGTAATGCGAGTGGGAGAGTCGATGATTTGATGTAATTGGGCGATTCTAATACTTCGGTAAAACGCATCACACGGCTGTCGCCGAGAGCCAAATAATCCAAATTGAAGTCTCCAGTACAAAATAATTTATCATACTTGAAAGACATATCCGCCATCACCGCCTCAAACTCCTCCAGAAACCCATCAAAATCCCCCCCGCGGCTGCCGATAAACCACACCAATCGTAAAAGATACACTTTTATGCATAAACGCCACCCACAGATATTCGATGTTTCCAGAGTTAAAATATGACACCTTACTTGGTCCGAGATTGCGATTACAAACGAAGAGATCATAAGAAGTTACATGATAAGTGTTAATTCTGTAATCATCAGAGAGCCATGTCTCTGTCAGGGCGAAAATGTCATACTTGAGCAGCACCGACATAGCGAAGGCGTCAAAGTGGGCCGGCAAAGATCGTACAGCTAATCTGAGAGACATTTTATGCTAATTCTGAACAATTGCGATAAGCCAAAAACTTATGAATCGCGAACTAATAATAAAATCTAATAAACAAGCTATAAGCAGCAACAATGGTAACATGCATTGCCAAGCAACTATACAAAGGCTTATTTAACTCATATTCACAATTGAAATTTTTCTTTTTTCCCCTTTAAGTTCTATTCTAAGTTCTGATTCCAATGCCATTTAGACAGTGTCCTTAAATCCATTTCAATACGTCATCTTCTAGTTTTGGCCATTTTGCAACCGGCGAGACGATAGCAACAAACTTTTTCCTTTATATTTCCACCTACTTCTAGGGCCCATATTTTCGTTATCTAGAAAGATAGCGAAAAACTAAGTACNCATTACGAAACTAGCTACTAATAAATTAAATCATTGTACTGTTATAAATCACTTTTAATTCAAGTTCACTGGCACCGTAGACTACAATGACGCATCATAGGCTAAACAGTGTTCTGGGATTCTGATGGCGAGGTGGGAGAGAGACAGTGTTAGCAAGCTTGTGAATCCCCGTAACTGTTGTTCGTCGTATCAGTGCACTATTGCTGCGATTTGAATTCAATGTTGCCAGATAGAGATAGTTCAGTGGCACCGTAAACTGTAATGACTCATCATAGGCTAGACAATGTTCTGTGTTTGTGATGACGGAGCGGGAGAGAGACAGTGTTAGCAAGATTCTTTTCCAAGTTGAATTCGATGTTTCCAGATAGAGATAGAAATTTTAAATCAAACATTGAATATTTTTATATTAATTGCGAGCATACAAGATTAAGTTATCTCTTGCTTAGCATCTAGTTTCTTCACATTAAATTTATTAATAGTTTGTGTGCAAAATTTAGTATAAATTTAGTCTCAAATACTTCAAAACTTAACCCAACAAACTTTATTATCATTTATATTTGTTATTTAATTTTTTTTCTCCATTTAATAATAAATAACCATAAAAATAACGAATCAAATAAAAAGTGATTACAATAGCTTTTCTTAAAATTTAATCTTTTCACGTTAATTTGATAAAAATAATTTTTAGGTTAACTTTCCTTTGTGATTTATCTTGAGTAACGAAGAAAAAGTAATCGTTTCTTGTATTTTTCCACTCACTCTTGAGATTGTTGACCACAAAAGACTTCGCTTACCTGTTAACTTGACCCCTAAAATTTAAAATTCTTTGTTACCCTCATTAATATTTTTATATTTCTTTAATATATATTTTTGTTGAAAGAAAACTTTATTTATTTCAATTCTTCGAATCGGAATGTTGCAAATTTTATCTCTGAGGTTTTGAAATAGAAGAAATTTTATCAATTTTAGCTTAAAATTGTTTGAGTGTTTAACCAACCTAAAAATTTTTATTATTTATGCTACGATTCAATAAATTTGTTTATTGAGTGAAGATTAAATCTAATCCAACTTTGAGCAATCAATACCTTAAAAAAAGTGGAAATGAGTAACTCTTAAAGCCTACATCCTGTTATTGTATCTAACTTTATCAAATACAATCGTTCAATACATCTTGAAATAAAAATAAAAATCCAATTAATCAATTTAATATAATACATAATACGCAAAATGTTATCTGATAAACAACTTTTTTTAATGAAACGTACTTTGTATTTTATCACTGACACACCCACAACAAAAAAATTATCTCTGACGTTCTTTTTCCTTCGGGAATCTTCATCTAAATTCCGTCAACAGTTCAATTACAACAATGAATGAAGATAATTTTGTTGATCTAAAATGTTAAAAAAATACTTAGATTATGTCGTATTTTGTAGGTTGTAGAGCGCACCACGATATAGTCTGGAATAGTCTAGCTGTCGCCCCTCCATTTCGGAGTGCTATATAAGCGAACCCACCGCTTACACATTCAGTCAATAAGACGAACCTTCCGATTAACGTTTAAAAACGTCCAGTTAATCGTTCGTTAACCTGGCGAATAAAACTCTTCGTTTAATAGCCAAACATCATAGAAAAAATTGCTTCGTTTCAAAGTGCGATAAAATTCATTTAAAGTATACCTTCGGGTTTTACACGATTTATCATAAAAGTTATACCTAAACTAATAATTTCCAAAATGCCTGACGGTAAATATTCGGTTCAACACTCAGTCACCATCCAAGAGTAAGTTAATTATTTTATTTAAGTCACAAAAAAATAACACCTTTTTTGTTACAATAGAAAGAGGAACTCGTTGAAGTATAAAGTATTAACAAGCGCCGAAACCAACGTTTTAACTGGAAAAACACGCAGTTTCGAAGACATCAAAGGAAACTTCGATGGGCTTTCCGCAAAAATTAGGAACTTCATCGAAAAATCAGCCGATTTATGCAAACCATCCCAACTTTACATTTGCGACGGCAGCGAAGAAGAAAACACTCAACTCCTTCAACTTTTAGTCGAAAATGGAGTCGCCAAACCAATCGATAAATACCAAAATAGGTAATTACAAAAAAAAATTTTAACATTTCCAAATTTAACAAAAAAATTTCATCCCCAGCTACTTAGTAAGAACAAATCCGGCCGATACAGCTCGCGTTGAATCAAAAACCTTCATCTGCACCCCCGATAAATACACCTCCGTACCAAGAACGAAATCAGGAGTCACCCCAAGTTTAGGAAATTGGATTTCACCCGAAGACATGGAAATCGCCGTAAAAGAACGTTTCACCAACTGCATGATGGGTCGCACCATGTACGTTTTGCCATTTTCCATGGGCCCCGTTGGTTCCCCCCTTGCAAAAATCGGCATTCAACTCACCGATTCGCCCTACGTCGCACTCTCCATGCGAATCATGACCAGAATGGGAGCTGAAGTTCTCAAAGTACTCGGCGATGACGATTTCGTCCGTTGCCTCCATTGCGTCGGAACCCCAAAAAGCGGAGTCCACGAAAATCCTTTATGGCCATGCGACCCAGAAAGAACCATCATTTTACACAAACCCGAAACGAATGAAATCGTATCTTACGGAAGCGGATACGGTGGAAATTCTTTGTTGGGGAAGAAATGTTTCGCTTTAAGAATCGGCTCAACGATCGCTAAAAAAGAAGGATGGTTAGCCGAACACATGTTAATTATGGGCTTTACAAACCCCAAAAATGAAAAGATGTATCTTGGAGCAGCGTTTCCTTCGGCTTGTGGCAAAACGAATTTAGCCATGATGACCCCATCTCTAAAAGGCTACAAAGTTGAATGCGTCGGTGATGACATCGCGTGGATGCGATTCGATAAAGATGGAATCTTAAAAGCTGTTAACCCAGAAAATGGATTTTTCGGAGTAGCTCCCGGAACCAACAGCAAATCGAATCCAATTGCAATGGAAACCATCAAAAAGAACACAATTTTCACCAACGTTGCGTCAACTAGTAATGGAGGCGTTTTCTGGGAAGGAATGGAAGAAGAAGTTGATCTGAAAGAAACCACCATCACCGATTGGAAAAACAAAGAATGGGATCATCAATCAAACGCAGCCCATCCAAACTCGCGATTTTGTACCCCAGCTGCTCAATGTCCCATTATTGATCCATCTTGGGAATCCCCCGAGGGTGTTCCAATTTCTGCAATTCTCTTCGGAGGAAGACGCCCAGAAGGAGTTCCTTTAGTTTACGAAGCTAGAGATTGGAAACATGCCGTTTTGGTAGGAGCCTCCATGAGAAGCGAAGCCACCGCAGCAGCTGAACATAAAGGAAAAATGATCATGCACGATCCTTTCGCAATGAGACCATTTTTCGGTTATAATTTCGCCCATTACATTGAACATTGGGTTAGCATGGAAAAAGAAGGAAGAAAAATGCCGAGAGTTTTCCACGTAAATTGGTTCAGAAAAGACGCAAACGGTAAATTTATGTGGCCCGGATTTGGAGAAAACACCAGAGTTTTAGATTGGATCATGAGAAGGTGTAATGGTGAAGATGTCGCCGTTGAAACTCCGATTGGATGGGTCCCAAAACCTGGATCTATCAATTTAGAAGGATTAGAAAATCCACCTAACATGGAAGAATTAACTAAAGTTGATAAAGAATTCTTTTTGAAAGAATTAGATCAAATTGAAAAATATTTCGATGATCAACTTACAACTGATTTACCCGAAACGATGAAAGATGAATTGAAAAGGTATAGAGAGAGATTATCTAAATATTAAGAATTTTAATTTAATTTTTAAAACATTCTTCTCCAAAATGTAGTATTAATGTTTACATGTTTTTCTTTTTGCGATAAGCAATGTAAATGTAACTTTTTAAATTTAAATAGAATGTAATAAATATTTTTATAGACGATCATAATTTTTTAAGTGATTATAATATTGTAAGAGATATCAATAGAAATAAATTAATTATATTTTTTTAATTTATTCTTTTTAATTATGCTTTAAACGTCAGAAATTTTATACTTCTTACTTAAACGATTCCTCGATATTATCCCATCACATAAGTCTAAAATTAAAGTTGTTCTGTAGCTGAATAACTTTGTTATCAATATCATCTTGGCTTTTTTCTACTATATACAGCTATTATCAAATAATAGTCAAATAATCAAATACCAAGTGAAATAAAGACCAAATTGATAATTGGTGAAAATTTCCAAACAATCTCCAAAACGGGTTTGTTTATTGGAAAGAGCATCCATTCATTGATAATTGGTGAAATTTCCATTAAAATATTCCAAGAAATCGATTTTTTACGACTTTGTAAGTTTCTAATAAAAGAGATACTCCCAAACGGCTTTGTTTATTGGAAAGAACATACTTTCATTAATATCTAGTGATAATTTCATAAAAATTTTCCAAGAAATCAATTCATTCTGTGATAACAGTAGTAGCCGAGTTCGCTTGCGGCCGAGGCAGAGCAATTGGGAGTTTTAATACTAATAGATATAACTATTGTATGTTTTGTCTTTAAGAGGCTACGTAATGTGNAAACGTGATACTCCAAAATGGATTTGTTTATTGGAAAGAACATACTTTCAATAATAATTTAGGATAATTTCATAAAGAGTTTCCAAAAAATCAATTTTTCACGATTTTTTAAGTTTCAAAGAGTTTCCAATAAGAAAAAAGAGTTCGAATGAGTTAAAAAACTTATATTTCAAAAATTAAACGTGATACTTCAAAACGGGTTTGTTTATTGGAAAGAGCATACATTCATTGATAATTGGTGAAATTTCCATTAAAATATTCCAAGAAATCGATTTTTTACGACTTTGTAAGTTTCTAATAAAAGAGATACTCCCAAACGGCTTTGTTTATTGGAAAGAACATACTTTCATTAATATCTAGTGATAATTTCATAAAAATTTTCCAAGAAATCAATTCATTCTGTGATAACAGTAGTAGCCGAGTTCGCTTGCGGCCGAGGCAGAGCAATTGGGAGTTTTAATACTAATAGATATAACTATTGTATGTTTTGTCTTTAAGAGGCTACGTAATGTGAAGATTGAAATCAGTTGTGACGATTTTGACGATCAGTATTTTAGAACTTAATAGAATATCTAAATTAGATCGCACCATATTTTCAACTTTAATCTCCTTTGGTATTGGCAACAATGTTCTTTATTTGTTAGCCGTTCCATCACTCTCCCTGACAAGATCCCAGCAGTAGTAGCCCATAATCGTAGTGTTCCAGTGACCTTGATAACGGTGTTCCATCGTAAGGATGTCTTCGTAAAAGCATTCACCCTGCTCGTCGCTTACAGCTCCTATACTTTCCTGGAAGAAATAATCTTGTAGCTGTTCAACAAATCATTCATGGTGGATTATCTTTTCTGTTACCCAAAAAGCCCTTCAAAACTGCTTTAAAAGATGACCTAGCAGCTAATTCAATATTTGTGAGTTTGATATCAAAGACTGGATCTTTCAACAATTTTCTTATTTGTAGTTCAACATATATATCTTCTTTCAGCTTTGCTTCACTCAATTTGGGAAACTTTTCTTTCAAATGATTGAAGGCTTGCCTTCCTTTATCTAAAGCTTTTACAAAGTTCTTCACAAAGCCCAACTTGATATGATGCGGAGGCAAAACGATTTTGTCGATCTTATCCAATGGAGTGTTTTTCACATTTTCTTTTTCAGCAACATATAATTTTCTTACAGGTTCCTAGTGCCTCGGCTGTCCCATAGGCACAAAAAGCAAGCAATATTTCGTGAACCCACTCTGTAAACCTGTAAGGAGTGCAACAACTTTTAAATTGCCATTCATGATCCATATTATATTTGATTGCCTCTAGCAGCGAAGCTATAGTTTCATAAGTTTCTTATTTGTTTACTGTGTAAGGTTCCGATGAAAATGTATTGCCATTATGCAGTAGTCTGCTTTAAAGCTCGTTTTACTGGAGTTAATAAAACGTCGCCACTCCCGTGGGTTATGTTATACAACTAGCTGCATCATCAAACCATTGATATCTCTATAGACGCACATTGAATTCTGCATGTCAAAATCTTGAACGAAGGAACTACCTCTTGATCTAAAACAGCAAATTTTTATCCCTGGAGCTAGAAGGTTCCGTTGTTGCAGTCTTGATCCCATGAGTTGTAGTAGCTTGTACTTTCGAAAGTTTTAGATCACAAACCAAATCGTTTAGTTCCTTTTGATTGAAGAGCTGAGGCGAAGTGTCAGGAGATTGAGACTCTTCTACATGTTGAGCACCTTCTGATTCACTTGACGTTGAGTTAGGTCCCGTGGCTTGCATGGTGCAATCAGGAACAGGGAACCCTTTATTGTTGGTAAATGCATTGAAGATATGTTTGGATACTTTATTTCATGTCGAGTTGTGCTAGAATGCTCTGGAATGTTTGCGATACAGAAGTGACAGTCTGAAAAAATGGCCTTTACGCTTACACCACATCATAGAAAATTAAGATTCAAACAAAAAAATAGCGAAATACTGAAAATAAAAAATAAAAAAACCCTAAAAAGCCAAAAGTCTTACTAGAACGTACTAGAACATTTGGAAAGTGTATTGGAAGGTAATTCGGATTCTATATACCATATTAAATACATATAAATTGATATATCACATATCAAATGCAAAATGACTAGTGTAATTATTGTACACTGATGCAACACAGTTTTATTTCTGATGAGTTTCTGATTTTATTTTGTACTAATTCAAATAACTATTGTATACCTAGCCAACGATAGGCAGGCCGAGGGCAGTGTAATTGAAACCTTCTACACTAATACAAGCAACTATTGAAGAAGGCAGAATCCAAAATACAATGAAATAGTAGTAGAGGAGCGACCAAAGTACCAGATGATGGAGGAGGATGAGGAAGTTGGTAGCCAGGTTTAGGTGTAGGAATGAAACAAGGACCAACAGATATTGAATGGAAGATGAGAAGAGTTGGTGCAGGCTGTGTAGGGAGGGTTGGGAGTCTCTACACCATCTGTTGGTGGAGTGTAGTGAGTTCAGGGAGAATGTGACGAATTGGAGACAGGTATTGGGGGAGAGGGCGGAGGGAAAAGGATAGATGGGGGAGGTGGTGGCAGCAAGGAGACGTAGGGAGACAGGGAGAGGCTGGGGATAGGGGTTGGATTTAGATTAGTTATGGATATTGTTGTTCTTTTTTTAACGTTGTAATCTTCTCAAGACCATAAATTATTATTACAACTACTGAAGGAGAAGGCTACTGAAAAGTTTTACCAACCACAGTAAATCAAACAAATAAATATAAATTGATGATGTGATAATAATGTAATAAACACAACTGAAATTGTTATTTTTGTTTAAAGAAGCTGCTATTTCGTACTGAATGAGGTAATTTCGTTAAAACGTAATTTCGTTCAACTTTCAAATACTTTCCAAGAAACGCGGAGGAGGGAAGTACGTCCAATTACGTACGGTGGAGCAAAATATTTGCATGGGACCGAAAGGCAGATCGAAACGCTGTCAAAGGGCAGCTTATTTTTAGTTTTCAGGCTGCGAGAGACAAAATATTAAAGCATTATCGTAAAACTAATTAGATTTATGCTGCAGTTTTAATTCTCGATTCGCGGCATAAGATAGAAGTTTTTGATATGACAAGATGGAGCCAAGAATTAAAAGAGACTTCGATTCAGAAATTTGAAGATGTATACAAAGCCTATTTCCATCAATCAGAAGGCCAACGTTCGAAAGTAACGGCATTAAGTATTCATTATTGCACTAAAACAATAAGATGCATGACGAGATTTCGATACTTTTATGAGACTCTCGTACGAGAAACGAGACGAGACGAGAGCGGAGGTTGCGAGACGAGACTTGATACAAGACTTATTAGTTCATCGGCGAGACGAGAGAAGACTTTATGAAAATCTTCTAAAACTAGGCATGCTCCTTGTCTGCAGGTAACACGACGATTTCTGACTTTTCTTTAATAGATCGGAGTGCCTTCTTTTCATCAACCGTCAAGTTGAATTTCGGTGGTTTTGCTGACTTCAGTACTCTCGCAACTTCTTGTCGGATCTCTTCGGCTTTTAGTGTGGGCATCCCTCGAACAGCTGCTTCCACTTCTCAGATGATTGTTCCTCTTTTGGGAACTTCTTCGGGGCGATTGCGTAGTTCAATCCTTTGGCGAGTACAGTGGTTTCGTCTTTTGTTAGTGGGACACTCGATCTGTTGATGACGATTGTTTCTACTGGTAAACAATTACTTTTCTTCTTTTGTATCCAGCGTTCCGGAGTTTCAAACTTCTTGATGTGCGTATTACGAGTGTTCTGGAATTCACGATCAGCCTTCTCCATTGTTAGTCTGTCCACTTCGAATCAGTTTCTGAAGAAGGTTGCAACATGGCATCCGAAACGTCAAACCTTTTCTTAAAAGACGTTCAGCAAAACCCGAAAGTTTCTAGTGTTAGTTCTAATTTTAGTTCAATTCACACCGGCCATGAAAACCTTCGTACTTAGATTATAATGATTGGATAATATGGTTTTCGACAGGGAAGGTGCACGACCAGGCCAATCACTGAAATAGTGCGCTACTTCGTTGAAACTTCGCCTCTAAGCTCATTGTCGAGATAGTTGTCCTTGGCTTAAGAAATGTTTTCTTTAACTTTGACTAACTTCTTAATATTTTCTGCGAATTATTAGAAACTATTATGAGGATAAAATACTCATTACAGATCAAACAATCGAAATGTTACATCAAATCTAATGTTGGTTACATAAAAAAGTAATATTTTTTTAAGAAATCTTGCTGATTTTAACGTTTGCAAAATTACGTCAGGCAAAAATATTTTACAATTATCTAAAAAGTTTGAACGTTATTGCGTTATCTTGATTACTTAATAACTGTTCGCGGATTTTCTACGCTCGGTATTTGAAAAGGCCTCGCGAGTCAGGTGACGCTGCTATCGGTTCAGAACGAGGACAACACGTAAACATCTGTTACAATCCACGCAAGCAACAACCGGCTGGTGTTGCATCAGAAACACTCCTCCAAACGCGAGCCAATCAGAAAATTTCTTTCGGCGCCTGTCTGGCGTTCTGCTCTAAGGTCAAGGTTTCGTAATTTTATATCGTAAGAGGTGTGTACTTTTCCATTAACGGAAACCAATTCTATAAATATAAAACCTACGAAAAAAATAATAATAAAAAAAATTTGTACATAAAAAATTTTAAAAAAATGTTAGTTTGTTATCTAATCAATAATGTATTTATAAAAAATGCGGAAATACTTTGTGAAGTGGTATTGTTTAATAAGTATTAAAAACGTTGACCTCTAACTGACCTTCATAGTACTTGGAAAGGGATATTTTGGCAGTTTGCTTTACTAGGTTATCAGTTTTATTAATGAAGTCTATGTTTGCGTCTGCTGTTGATTTTGCGTGTTTTTGTTAACGCGAATACTGAGAACTGTTGCAACTATTGCACTTAAAATTAGAGTGGCTAAATACACTCTCATTTTTCCAAAATTATTTGATCATCTAAAATACTATGATAAAGAGACTATTTTAATATTTTAATATTTATGAATTCAGATGACAGCCTCATATTTATAGACAAAGATTGTACCTGAATTTTAACATCTTTAACTTCACAATCAAGAATCAAAGTTTCCAAAAACCTGGAAATTAAGCAGGATTGGCCCATATATATTGGTACAATACGCTTTACAAACCTTGGATTGGCCTAGTTTTTAATAAAGAGCGCCATCTCTGTTTGGAGGGAAGAAACAAATTAGTAGAATATTAGTAAAAATAAATTTGGTATTTAGAAAACGAATTTTGAAAGCATGAAATTAGCAATAACATCATTACTTTTGGTATAAATACATTTAATCAAGTATGGTTGACATTTGTACATGAATTTTATTAAGATAATGTTTTAATAATGTTCACCAAATTCTTCCCATAACTTTTGAAGCCTATTCTTCATATGAGAGTGACAAAGACAACTTTGAATTAGGCTTGTTCTCAGATGGAGGACTAGAGGATTCTAGTGGTGGTACAATGACTACTTCTGCGTCTGATGATGTGCAGGGCTTTTCTTCTGTAGCTGCAAGTGAGAGTCGTTTGCTTCATGAAACAATGCGCTGCGTGAGAGATACTTTAGTTATGCGTTGCAGTATCTCATTGCAGTATTTGTGGTGTATATGTAATTCTTTTCAAAGTTTTAATGCATTTAGCAATTCCAAAGTAATTGAACTTTCTTGTTCAGACAGCGTATCTTCCATGAACTTTAATCACTTTTATAGCCAAACTGCTAATAAGTGCGAATAATAAATTCATTTCATCTTCTGAACATTTTATATCGCATTCTACATCAATTAACGCTTTGGACACAGGTTCTGTATTATCCATAAAGAGGCAGACAAAGAGACTCAATGAGGAAGACGCTGCTTTTCAGATAGCTTTTCAACAAATGACATTGTTTCTTCCCAGCATTGTCGTTATTGGAGCGATGTAAATCTTATACAATTTTTGGTTTTTTATTTTTGGGGACGATTGAAACAATTTGTTTCAGTTGTTTTTGAAAAAAGTGCATTTTCGAAAAGTCGTCATCACTTTTTCCTTATTGATAAATATTTCTTTCTGTGAAAACATTTTCAAAGCAACTTTTTATGTAGAATTCGATGGAATAGTTACCTTTCCCTAAAAGCAATATTTTAGCAGTTATTGACATAAAAATGGTTTTTTAAATGGAACACCCTATATATTTTGCAAATTCGACGAGTGCATAGAATTTCCTTTCCACAAATATACCTAGCATCCTTGATATTTCGTTCAAGTCTCTTTTGAAATATACAACTTTAAAACTTAAAACAGTTTTTGAAAAATTTGCGGTTGTCGCCATTAAGTTTCTTATAAAAATCGAGCCTCAGACACTGATATCATTTTTCCTCTATCTTTTATAGAAAGAAGTGTTTCCCTTTAAAAGTGTCCAATTTGGCCCATCCTGTACATACAAAAGAGACAGCTTTGAGTGCCTTGTCACTGAAGACATGCTCTTCATCACTCAAGCTGATTCGGAGTAACCTCAGAGGACACTTAATTCAAATTAAAACGAATCTTATACCGACAAAATATAATTTCGATCAGCCATACAAGGTTATGTTTAGAAGCAGGGAAGAATGGACAAAGGGTGAGCTTCAATTCAAAACAGGAGCCGTGGCCTGGTACACCGATGCTTCAAAGACAGCTGCATCCGGAGTAGGTATGGGCAACAAAACACTAAAAAGCCACATGAAGATGCCCTTAAGCTCGGATACAACTATTTTGCAGACTGAAGATCTTGCCATAAACTTCTGCACCGTTTTGAACCTTGAGAAAAAACAGAAAAGTGCATCGATAACCAGCTTTACCAGTGCCGGCGCTAGCAAATGAAGCGCCAGGGTGCGGGAACCGGAGTGGCGCCCCCCCACCAAGCATTTTGGGCGGAATGCATTTTAATTAAAAAAAAATATATAATCAAAGAAATATAAATAAACTTAAAAAAGACTGGAATAATCATAATCCATACTTCAGCAAAAATTTAAGAATTATACTGGTGAAAAACCAAACTTAAGGGAATAGTCGGGAATACTCTGGTCAGAAGGTTAATTTGCAAGAAACAGTCTGAAATTGCAATAGTTATAAACTAGACTACAGCAAAAAAGGAATTACATTGTTCAAAATCCACATGTAGTCTGAAATTACTGTTCAGAGAAAATAAAAAATTGATTATAAACCAAACATGATTTTTCACGGCAATACTTATGTGTTCAATAAAAGAATGCGAAGAATATGAACAAGAAACCAATGGACTTGTCTTGTTATTGCACAGGACAGGAAATTACCAATACGAAAACTTTGCCAATGCAGGATAAGCACAAAAGTAAAGTAACAGCTGCAGAAATGGGGTACCGGGTGGTACAAGATCCATATAGATAATAAGAGGCTCCCAAAAAGATGATGATAGACACCCAGAAAGAAGTTGCTGTCAGTATCAAGAACAAAAAAAAAGCTTCTAAAAAAGTAAATACTGCTTTCTGAAGACTATATACTGCCGACAGGTCGAAATACTGCAAAAGAAAGATAAGATATTGTTGGAGAAAACATACATGACGTTCGCAGAAGACTAGATACTACTTCTAGAAGACTAAATATTGCTTTCTGAAAACTAGATACTTCCGACAGGTCTAAATATAGCGTCTGGAACACTAAATACTGCCTTCTAAAGACTAAAATTGCTTTGTGGAGACTAAATATTGCTTTCTGAAGACTAGATACTGCTAACAGGTCTAAATATTGCAAAAGAAAAATAAAATATTTTGGAGAAAACATACATAACGTTCGCAGAAGACTAGATACTACTTCTAGAAGACTAAATATTCCTTTCTGAAAACTAGATACTTCCGACAGGTCTAAATACAGCGTCTGGAACACTAAATACTGCCTTCTAAAGACTAAAATTGCTTTGTGGAGATTAAATACTGGTTTCTGAAGACTAGATACTGCTAACAGGTCCAAATATTGCAAAAGAAAGATAAAATATTTTGGAGAAAACATACATAACGTTCGCAGAAGACTAGATACTACTTCTAGAAGACTAAATATTGCTTTCTGAAAACTAGATACTTCCGACAGGTCTAAATACAGCGTCTGGAACACTAAATACTGCCTTCTAAAGACTAAAATTGCTTTGTGGAGACTAAATACTGGTTTCTGAAGACTAGATACTGCTAACAGGTCTAAATATTGCAAAAGAAAGATAAAATATTTTGGAGAAAACATACATAACTTTGGCAGAAGACTAGATACTGCTTCTAGAAGACTAAATACTGCTTTCTGAAGACTAGATACTTCCGACAGGTCTAAATACAGCGTCTGGAACACTAAATACTGCCTTCTAAAGACTAAAATTGCTTTGTGGAGACTAAATACTGGTTTCTGAAGACTAGATACTGCTAACAGGTCTAAATATTGCAAAAGAAAGATAAAATATTTTGGAGAAAACATACATAACTTTGGCAGAAGACTAGATACTGCTTCTAGAAGACTAAATACTGCTTTCTGAAGACTAGATACTGCTTCTAGAAGACTAAATACTGCTTTCTGAAGACTAGATACTGCCGATAGGTCTAAATACAGAGACATTGTGGGTAATGAAAAGGCGGACAAGCTGTCCAAAGAGGCAGCGAGGGTTTGCCTGACACTTACTTACTTAAAGGAACAAGGCTTTGAGCAATACTAAGGTTTATTAAGGACCTAGATCTGCCCTAAACTTTTGGAGGGCGTAACAATAGATCTTACAGGTTGCAGTGACGAGAGGGGCCGCTCCCCCCAGCCCGGCAGCAACAAAAAAAGACCTAGAATTAGAAACATTCGGGTTAACCATGCAACTCTTAAGACGGCTAAACCCGAATGTTTCTAGTTCTAAGTCCTGTGCAAGTTTTAGTTCAATAAAAATATGCTATGTATATTGGTAATTATACTTTGGTTAATTGTAAAATAGATGAACAAAGAGTTTTTTTTATTAGTGTTATGTTATCATCTAATAATGATTTTAAACTTATTAAAGCAACAATGATAATGAAATCACAATAATTGATGGTGAAAGCCCATATGAGACCTAATAAGCTTGTTCAAAAACAAGGATTAAAACGTTTCTACCTAAAATCATGGTGAATTATACCACGTGAATATTTTTATCATCAGGAAAAGATGTTGGAATAATTATAAAAGTACATTCTTTTTAGTTCTCTCGTTGACCATGAATTTTATAACACATATTTTTTCTTTCTTTATCCATGCTTACGTAAAGGAGGTGTGACTTTTATTATCGTTTTTTTTTCTATACTTTTTTTGCGAAACGTTTCAACCTCTTAAAGGTTGATATGATAATTGGGAATATTTTTAAATTAAACAAAAAATGATAAGATACTTTTAATATTTATTAATTAAACCTATATTTACTTTTTAAATAAGCTTTTAATAAATACTTTTTCGAGTTAAATTTTACATGTACTCGAACATGTTATAATATTTTTAATCTTTTCTTTAATGAAGTCAAAACAATTTTGATCCAAATACTATCCAGAATCTTTTCCACTACTTGCTTTACGAACCATAGAGAGTTGAGAAAAGCTACTTTTACTTGGTGGTGGGTTTAATTTGCTTGTAATATAAATGAAAGCTTCGTAAAGAGACGCTCTTTGCATAGCTGAAGCTGTAAAATGTCTGACTTTTTCTCGATTCGACCAATTTGATGCTTTATTTAATGTTGATTCAAAATTGTTTTCGCATTCTTTAGTTTTGTTACCCACTACTATTATGGTAACCTCTTTTTTATCTTTGTTTTTATCAATATCTTTTTTTAACCCAACTAAAACGTCAAGTGACTCTGGTTTATCAGTATCATAAATCAATATGTATCCATCGGCTAAAGATAAGTAATGCCGGGGGAGTTGGTGGCTTGTTGTTCCGTTAGCTGTTGATGTTTGAGAGTATTGTATACCAGCTGTATCATAGAATCGAACTTTTTCACGTGTTCCACGATCGGATTCTATGTTAGCTACGTAAATATCTTCGATTGTAGGATAAAATTCCTTAATTTATTTGAAATTAATTAAATAAAAAAAACAATTTAAGATAATTTACCGTTGATGGAGAAACATTTCCGTAAATAACTTGTTCCAAAATAGACGTTTTTCCAACCCCTTTCATCCCACAAACGACTACTTTACTAGTTTTTCCCATTTTATTTCAAAAAAATTGTGCAACATATGACACGAAAATTTTTGAGGTTATGTAAACGTCAAAACGAAACGTCAAAAGTGTTGTTTTAACAGATTTTTCTACATATTTACACAAAACAGAAAAATTTCCTTAAATAACTTGCTCCAAAATAGACGCTTTTCCAATCCTTTTCATCCCACAAACGACTAATTTACTAATTTTTTTCATTTTATAATTACTAAAATTTTTGAGGTTATGTAAACGTCAAAACTAAACGTCAAAGTGTTGTTTTAACAGATTTTTCTACATATTTAGACGAAAATGTCCTCAAATAAATATTCTATACTATTACCTACTTACAACGAAGTAGAAAATTTGCCAATTATAATTTGGTTAATCGTAAAATACATGAATAAAAGGTAAATTTTTTTATTTGAGGTTATGTTATTGTATAATAATTTAAAACGTTTTTAAAGCGGTATTGATTACGAAATCATAGTAATTGATGATGGAAGCCCCGATGGGACCCTTGAGGCAGCTAAACAATTACAAAAGATTTATGGAGAATCAAAAATTGTGCTTAGACCAAGAGAAAAAAAGTTAGGTTTGGGTACAGCTTATATTCATGGAATTAAACACGCCACAGGAGACTTTATTATAATTATGGATGCAGATTTAAGTCATCATGTAAATCCACATACTAACATAATCACAATGTTACTAAATATATTTTTTTTATAGCCAAAATTCATTCCTGAATTTATCAAACTACAAGAGTCACAGAATTTCGATGTAGTCTCAGGAACGCGATACAAAGGCACTGGAGGTGTAAACGGTTGGGATTTCAAACGTAAACTTATCTCAAGAGGAGCCAATTTCCTTACACAGCTTCTTTTAAGACCAGGAGCTTCTGATTTAACTGGCTCTTTTCGTTTATATAAAAAACATGTTTTACAAATGCTAATTGAAAGCTGCGTTTCAAAAGGTTATGTTTTTCAAATGGAGATGATTATAAGGGCGAGACAGTTTAATTTTACTGTGGGTGAGGTCCCCATTACGTTCGTCGATAGAGTTTATGGTGAATCAAAACTTGGTGGATCTGAAATCTTTCAATTCGCTAAAGCTTTATTGTATTTGTTTGCTACTACATAAACACAAAATTAGTTAGTTAATAAGTTTAATATTTTGTATCTACGTAAATGTTTAAATAAAACATTCCATTTTATAACCTTTAATGTTTAAGATAACTTTATTTGTGCTGCCATCTATCGGTGATGGGTTTAAGTGACATAAATCAAATTAAATTAATTAAAATTGTTTCATGTAACATTTTTACATTTAATAACTTAATCATAATCAATAATGATTAATATTTATTATTTTAAATAATATATTTACGTGTTTTTTCTAATTTTAAAATAAATATCTAGAATATTTTCATTTCAAACCAGTTTTAGGTTGGTATTACGTCATCTGAATTTGAAGTTTTTAACGGACATAAACATATACAAACCCCCAAAGAACACGTGTCGTTTAATAAGTGATTTTAAAGTTTTACAATTAATTTACAAACAGTTCTTTATTGTTTATTTTAAGAGGAGTTATTAGATTAGTTAATAATGGCCGTTTCCGCACCGTGTACTCCAAAATTAACGTCGAATCGTGGCTGTAAAATCCCAGTTAGTAATAACTTTGAAACGCCGAAATCTGCGAAAATTCGTGCAAGAACGAGTAAAGAAAACGACGAAATGGGTGTAACACCGAAACGAATGCACGGAAATTATAATTCAATTACTCAAACCCCAAAATGTTACAATAAAGTGATTATTGAAACTCCTGTTTTAAAAACACGAAGTAGTCGTGATAAAAATGATGAAATCAGTAATTTAACGGTTGCTGTAAGGATTAGGCCTATGAATGCGAGGGAGTTATCGTATGTAGGGTCCTCGAATATGGTTAGAATTGAAGGAAAAGGGCTTGTAATTCCTTCAAATGCCCCTGGAATGGGGAATATGAATCATTATTTCGAGTACGATCATATATTTTGGTCTTGTGATCCTAAAGATGAAAATTATTCTAGTCAAGAAAGAATTTTTAACGTATTGGGCGATCCTATACTTGATAGCGCCTTTAAAGGCTATAATGGATGTTTATTTGCTTATGGACAAACAGGTTCTGGAAAAAGTTACAGTATGATGGGTGATACGATGTTTCATATTGATGAACGTACTGGGATTATCCCAAGATTTTGTCAGAGATTGTTTGAGAAATCAAAACACATCACAGAACTTGATAATATTAAATCAGTCAGCATTGATGTTAGTTATTTCGAGATTTATAATGAAAAAATTTATGATCTCTTAGCTGTTAGTACAAAAGATACTGAAAAAACAGCGTTAAAAGTGCGCGAACATCCGGAATGGGGGCCTTATGTAGTCAATTTAAGTGTACACTCGGTTAATTCTTATGAGGAGTTACGAGAATGGTTGATTATGGGGAATAAAAATCGAGCCACAGCTGCAACAGCAATGAATGAAAAATCATCAAGATCACATAGCATTTTCTCAGTTGAATTAAGCTTGTTGGAGGATGAAGAAACTAATTCAAGTAGAAGAAGTAAAATTAGCTTGATTGATTTAGCTGGGAGTGAAAGATTGGGAAATTCAAGTTCAAAGGATGAAAAAACTAAACAAGGGGTTTATATTAATAAATCATTATTAACTTTAGGAAAAGTTATTTGTGCTTTATCTGATCACAAAAAAAATAATCAATTTGTGCCGTATCGCGAATCAGTTTTAACTTGGTTATTAAGAGTAATTTAAAAAAAATTGAATCATTTTATACAAAAAAATTAATTCTTTATTTTTAGGAAAGTTTAGGCGGAAATTCTTTAACCTCAATGTTAGCAACAATATCTCCTGCTAATTCCCAATTAGAAGAAACCTTGGCGACTTTAAGATACGCGTGTCAAGCTCGTTCAATTATAAACCGCGTCCGAGTCAATGAAAATTCGCACGATCGAATTATAAAAGAATTACAGGCGGAAGTTGAAAGATTAAGGGCGTTACGACAAGAATGCGAAAGAAGAGCCGAATCCTCAATTATTTGCATCGATGAACTCGAAGATTTACGACATAAATTACAAGAAGCCGAGGAAAAACGTGATTCGGCTAAAGCTTATTGGGAAAGGAGATACATCGAGACTACGAAACGACAACAAGAAGAATTAGCGGAAGCGGAACGACGAAAAGAAGAGTTAGAATCACGGTTGAGAGTTATGCATAATTGCGAGAAAAATTCCGTGGTAATTTCGCCGTATAAATCGAATTTTTTTGAAGAATTGAAACAGATTTTGGATACAGAAGAGAAGGAGGCGAAAAAGATTATGTCAAAAGAGGAGGTTTTGACTCAAATAACACAAGTTTTTGATATTTTATCGACGTTAAATTCTACGGTTGATAAAAGTGATGATCATGTTAAAATTTTATTTGCTAAAGCAAATAAGTATTTGCAAGCTTTTGAGAGCGCCCTTTGCAAAAGTTACAAAACGGGGATTTCAAAGAGCGTTACTTTTAATATTTGACATTAATCTTTTTATTAGTAATATTGGGCCTATATATATTTAAATTTAATATTTAACTATTAATTATTCTAATTTTTATAAAAAAAAATATATATAGAAAAAATTTTTGTTTCATAATTTATTAATTAACAAAATTTTAAATATAAAATCCTTTCCAATATTTCCCTGTTCACTTTGAAGCGATTATTGGACTTATAGAAATTGTTTATTCTTACTTTTTTTCTTTTTATTCCCCAGTTATTAATAATAATAATAAGGCTGTATGGAAGAGATTCCAGTCGTGATCTTGCGTTCAAGTTTAAATGGTAAGTTGTGATTGATTTTAATTTACAATTTTTTTAATAAAACTTATTAATACTTGTTAGCGAGAAAATGTTACCCTCCACATCTAAGAATTCCTCATCCTCATAATCCTTAAAAGAAGTAGTTGAAATATATGTTTCAAGAATTCTTTGCTTACTACATATGTTTTAATATGGACAACATAGTTTGAAAATAAATAAACACCAAAAAGGGAAACCTGATTCTCCACAAGCTTGGTAACTCAATCCTACTTATTAATTATATTACTATTATTTATATTAATTACTTATTATTTTTTTCTGACTTGCATCGGCACTGAATAGCGTGTTTCTGTCCGTTCAATTTACTTGTACGATCAAAATAATGTAACGACCATAATGGGTCAGTTTAGACCCATGCATGGTGAACCATCTAAGGTTTTTTTTAAAGCCTTAAAACTAAATATTGCATTAGATATATTTTATTAAACTCAAACTATATTAAAACTCCATATAAAAAGGAACTCAAATATTCTTAATAATAAGTCATATTATAATAATGCTTCTTGTTATTCTCCATTTTCATCATGTTTACACATTATGTTTTACACTATTTTTCAATATTTGATGCTCATTGATTTATTTCTGGTTGCCTAAGTTACATACCTAGTTCCTGTAAAAACATTTTCCGTCGTCTTTTGGCACAAATATTTCCAGCTCAGTCAGGACTTTTTTTATTCCCAATTACAAACGTATTGTATGTCGCAATGTACGGGTAGTTTATATACAATGTAAATGGCCATCTTCTAGTGGTTCTGCAGCAACTATATTCTTGAATAAGTTTGTCCAAGAGATCAACTCCACTGTTTGATTGGTTATATTCCAAAACAATATTTGGTTCGTAATTTATTTCGCAGATACTTATTTTATGTGTATGGTGCATAGATGATAAAAGTATCACAAATTTCTGTGGTTTGGTTACATCGAAATTAGAGTGATCTTTGTAAATAAGAAACAAGATGAATAAGGAGCTCGTTTTTTTATTTCAAGTAATATTTTTGATAAACCCTTTTTATTTTTACAAACAGCCCCAGTAATGTTAATTTTTTTGCTATAAGTTCTTCAGCTAATGATATATCGGCAAAAAAATTGTCTGTAGTCATATTTCGTTCACTATCATTATAAAATTTTAATAACGATTGTAGTACTCGTTATCCTTGGTTTTTCTCAAGTTTATTCCTAACTTTCACTAAATAATCCTCAAAATATGCACAATAAAATAATATGGCATTGCACAACATCCTAACTTTATTCTACATTATTCCATTTTTTTCTGGCTTAATAGTTGCTCGTCAATTGTTCCGTACTCCGAGCGCGTTGAACACTTAAAGCAGTACTCCAGACTGAATAACTTGAATTTTGTCAGGCATTCTCGAGAAAAGAGGTAAGGATTTTGGGGTCATATGTATTATCCAGTATCGGTGAGGTTATAAGCTGCCCGATAAGCGCGAATAATATTGAAGGTATCCACTGACTCCGTCATCGGATTGCTTCTGGAGAGAATGGAGGTATCGGTGGTAGTAAGATTAAGAACGTTGTGGTTAAGTTCTTTGTCTCGCAATTTGCGTGAGAAATATGTGTCAGCTGCAAAGGCTTTCCGAAAGAACTACAGAACAGGGACAAATTGTTCGTAAAGGAGCATTTTATCTCTTGCAACGCGGAACTCTTTAGAATAACTAAACAGATGTATCGTGAGAAAGGATACAAATACTCTTAGCTTCGAAACTGCGTTATCCATGTTCGTAGTGGGGATAAATCATCGACAGCTGCAATGTCTTTCATGATCTATTTCTAGAACGTGCACAAATTACCAATTATACCAAGTGTTTCCTGGTCTATGTCTGCTTGGTATGGACCCATTCCTTTTGAGGGCTTGGATGCTCGCGCGAAGGAGTTCCTTTTTGCGTTCTCCCATTGTAATTTCTATAAAATTCAATAACGTTTTCAATAAAAATGATTTAATTTTATGTAAGTAATTCTGATGCTTGGACACGTATCATCTAGCTTTAGAATTTGTCTTTTACTTCAATCAAACTGCTTACCTACGCAGATGCCTCCGAACTGATTGGCGGTTTGATTGACGGTCTTAGAGGTGCATTGGTGGGCGTCAGTTGCTGCTGCTTTTCGAACTGGTATTCTCTTTCGACAATTAAAGCTATTAAAGGAAAACTAAAATTTTACCAAAAAATGGAAGAAATGAAGAAATTTTAATGACTTTTTGCCTTTTAAATTATTACATAAAGTACTAAGACATTAATAGCTTACAACTACAATTCCTATTGTAAACGTGTCCAAGATTTCCTAATAAATCTCCATCTCATTTACGGTCGTATGTAAATGGCAGGAAACGTGGTTGTGATGGTATTATAGCTCGGATGGAATACGACGGCGTGGCGTGTTAGCAGAAGGTGGGACATATCGAAACTTTTCTTCAAATATTTTTTTTCCGTTTATATAAACGGAAATCTTGACGATAAACCTCCCATTAGCAGTTCTTTTCTTTTGTCCCGTCCTTTGTTTTCACTACAGGATGTTGTAAGTCTCCCGAGTCTAGTTGGCCCTAAATTGGGTCCAGGCTCAATGATTTGCCTGGCGCGGAGGAACTAAGAACTAGCATATCCTTGTACCACATTTTCCGCCTCTCTGTAAAAGTATCTATGTTCCCTATGGAATGGAAAAATGTATTTATAATATCAACTTACAAGTCTGGTAAAAAACACTTGGTCACTAATTATCGCCAATTTCTTATTAACTAGTCTTTGAAAACTAGTGTACAATCACTTATACCACTGCATTCACCCACAAATCATTCAGCAACAGTATGGTTTCCTACGTGGACGGTCGGTGGAAACAAACTTGGTTGAGCTAATGAATTATATGTATTCAGAGATCCCTGAATCGCGATCTCATGCTATTTATACGGATTTTAGTAAGGCCTTCGACTAATTACATCACAAAATTCTTTTGGAAAAATTTACTAAATTTAACGTACCGAATAGCTTACTATTATGGATAGCTTCTTTTATTTCTTGCCAAGCAGTAAAGGTTGACAATTGTTTTCCAAATTCGTAAAAAAATCAGATCTTGGAATATGAGTATGAAAAAGTCCCAAAGTGTTAATAAAAGTGTCCTCTTTCCAATGAACCAATCCGTTTTGAAAAATAACTTTTAGTTTTTGAGAAAACAATATTTGAAGTTTTGATAATTTTTTTTATGTAATTTTTATAAATAACTAGCAAAATTCGCTATAAAATTAATTTCTTGAAGGATCCTTGTGGAAATATCACCAATTATTAATTAAAGTATCCTCTTTTTAATGCAAAAAGCCGTTTTGAAAAATCACTTTTAGTTCTTGAGAAATAAATTTTTGAAATAATCGACAATTTTTTCGAATTTTGCAATTTTCGCCGATTAAGTTTTAAAAATTCGTATAAAATCCATTTCTTGGAATATGAGTATGAAAATTTCCCAAAGTGTTAATAAAAGTGTCCTCTTTCCAATGAACCAACCCGTTTTGAAAAATAACTTTTAGTTTTTGAGAAAACAATATTTGAAGTTTTGATAAAATTTTCGATGTTGCAATTTTCATCGATAATTTTCAAAATTCGCTATAAAATTAATTTCTTGAAGGATCCTTGTGGAAATATCACCAATTATTAATTAAAGTATCCTCTTTTTAATGCAAAAAGCCGTTTATAAAAATCACTTTCAGTTCTTGAGAAATCGACAATTTTTTTCAATATGAGTATGAAAATTTCTCAGTGTTAATAAAAGTGTCCATCACTAGTATTGAGGCTTTGCAGAGGAGGTTTTTGGGGTCACTTCGTTGAGGGGTCACAGCTGTATATTTGATATGATGTTCTTATACAGATTAGTCTGTGGTTTGTTCGATTCCATGCAGCTCTTATGGGTGAGCAACTTACACCACTTGAGTGATGCCTCTCTTCAAGTTACCTGCATCTAAATCTATAGCATATACAAATTTATCAATGCGACATTTATCGCACTTCTACAGTAATCATTATAATAATTTTGATTTGTTCTGTGATTTCATAGAAAGTTTTCAGGCGTTATGTATTGAGCTCGACTATTTGTCATTAATTCAGTTGGTATTTAATTTTCTTTTTATTGTTGTTGCTTTTCTTGTACTGTTTTTTAGTGGATAAGTGCTTAATTGGGGTTTCCAGAATATAAACAAATTAATCAATCATATTAAAGCAGCTAAAATCAATCTTGTTGGTTTCATCATCAAATATAATCTTTGATTGCACATTTAGTGGAAATAATAACCAGGTTTTTGAGACTTGTTAATTATAATTTTTTTACGTTTTAAAGGTAATCATTAATTAAAGGATATTTTATTAGTTATAAAAGTTAAAAGAGGAGAAAAATAAGTACACAATTCTGTTTTATTGTCAACAAAATATGAACTTCACAATCCTTTTTTTTACTTCCAACAATTTTCTTTAACGATTATTCTATCCAAATATTACATAATATACACAATACTGTACAAGGACAAAAAAATCTGATTTTTTAGCTTATAACATCTATTAATTCAATTCTAATTAAAATTTCAACTTACTAATTTAATAACTTGACCTAATTGCTTTGATATATATTTTTTAGGTTTTTTTTGAGTACATAAATGCATTTGCAACAAGGAATGAAGAAAGAAATATTTGAATTTACACTATGATTTCCGCGCTTCTTGATTGAAAGAATTACATACGGAAATTCTTGTGTAATTCTGGTCTGATATCGTAAACTAAGTTCAAAACGTCCACGATTACCTAAAAAATTAATTAGAAAAAAATTATTTATTTCCCTTAATTTAAGAGTAAATAATCTTACGCTTTCTTTTTGAGTTTGAACCGCCCTATTCATCTCATCAATTCTCCTTTTCGTATCTTGATCGATCTTAGCAGCAACCCCTTCTTTAGAGCCCATGTGTTTCGCTTCAAATTCACGAAATTGACGTTCGCGTTCTTTGCGGTACTTTTCAATCTCATCTTGAGCCTCTTCTTTAGCTTGCTTTAGACGTTTGGCTTTGCCTTTAAAGAGAAACAAAAAATATTTTATTATATCGTGTCTTGTGATTTGAGTTACACCCAATCCATGTTTTTGATTAAATTTTTTTTAACTTACGTTTTCTTGCATCGGATACTTTTTCGGCAGCACGTTTTTCAGCTGCTAAAAGAGCTTGAATACCGGAAGTTTGGCTTGCCATTTAGTTATTTTTTTCGTTATTTAGGGCACAGAAACGGGGCGATACGTTTACTCCAGACACTATCTAGGAGTCATATGATTTTTCGATGGCTCAATACGAGGATTCTTCGCATGCGCTGTAAGGCTTTTCCCACTACATCACGAGATTCACAAGGTGTAGAATTTTATAGGAAATTATTCCAGTTTATTTTCAAGTAGATTTGGTTTGTTTCGATTTTAGTTCATAGATGGTATGCGTAAAAATTTTTCATAACATTTTGTGGATATTTAATTTATACAGTAATAAAACATTTCAAAACAGTTTTACAAAAACATGTGCATGGCTTTTCTGGACCTCGAAAAAGCTTTTGATAGAGTACCTGGAGAGAAAGTGTGGCAAAGCTTTCAACGTAGAGGATTAAAAAATAAATTAGTGAGGGTGGTTGAAACTATAATACATAATAAGTAATAACAGAAAATTGGATGAAGTACTGAGTCTAGTATTGTTAAAGGAGTTTATGGACAACATTGTACAAGAATGTGATGAAAATATCAGAAAAATGCTAATAGGACCCTGCGCTAGGAATCCTGCACAAAGTGCATTTGTGGATGATAATATAACCTAATAGTAAAGAAATCACTATCAATACTATTATAAGACTTCAACATTCCGCAAAACTGGTTAGAATGATAAGCATAACAATAAGTTTTCATAGAAATGATTTATGGGAAAATCGGAAAAACAAATAAATTTGAAGTCACTCAAGGCCAGAAACAGGGAGATGGGCTAACACCCATGGTTATTAACCTGGCCTTGTAACGCGTAAAAAGGAAGTCTAGACTGGACACAGTATCTACAGTATGGGGGAGAAATGTGGACACTTACACAAAGAAACGCAGAGACTAGATATAGTAGAGAGGAAAATCTTAAGAAAAATAATGGGAACATGTGGAGAACGCGCATCGAGTCACAATATATAAAGCTCAAATGGTTAATATGAACATGGCATGCTCAGAGGATTACACTACAAAGGCAGCTTGGGATAGGAGACCGGTTCACAGTGGTCAATTTCATGAATTTAGGAGGACAAAATTCATACCTCAAAAACCCAGCAAGCTACGGCAATGAAATTTCATATGTAGCTGTTAGTAACAAAATCTAAGATTTGTATCAAGTTTGGATCATATTCGTCAACCGGAAGTGGTACTTTATTTGAAACCATATTGAACTTGTTCTATATAAACTTGTTGTTTAAAGAGAGTTAAACAAACGCAATATTGCATAAGCGATTATGAGAAACATTCATACCGTAAATTTCACTCGAATCGACGTTGTCCTTTATTTGAGCACCATCCATCATTTTTTATACAGTGTGTCCGTAAAGTAGCGGATATAGGCGATAAAATCATTATTAACGGTTTATTCAAAAATCCCTGAAACTGGTGTAAAGATTTACATTTTTTGTAATTTTTTTAGTGTAGATTTCAAATTTTTCCGGCATTTTTAAACGAGTTATGACGTCATCGATGTTTTTTTTAAATGACAATCCCCCATTTTTATTACGGAATATGAAAGAAGATTTTTTTCTGAATCTAGTAGAGTCAATATCAATTTTGCTTACATAAGAAAATTTTCGAGAAAAGTTACTTTAAAGTTTAACTACTTCAAATTTTATGACATGATAAAAATAGCAGTAAGCATGAGTAACTATGCTAACCAATTATATCAAACATTTTCCTAAGTGTCAAAAACTGATTTAGTAAGTAGTTGACCTCTTTAATACAACATATCCTTATCGTCAACACATTAGCCAATGTATTGTGAGCCTAGCCGTGACTAAATTTAAACAGCATGGCCATCTCTCCGTTACTTTACGGACACACTGTATATGTAAACTGGCATGTTACAGAATAATAGGATAAATGCATAAAATTAATTAATAATTTCTTTGTAGTCATGAAAATATGTAGATATTAAATATCAGTCAAATTGCGTAACCGGAAGTGGTCAAGTTTGTTTATTTAGGAGGTTCATATACAAACCTGTTTTGTAATTGACTGCAAGAAAAACTTTCTAGTCGATTAATTTGGAGTATTTCATGAATTTTTATGGATTCATGTCTATTTATGTGTTTTTGTTACAATTAAATTGCAATATAAACTGTAGAATGTAGGAGGGTAGATTAGTATAGCTTTTCAACCGACTTAGCCAACCGTTTATTACGATAAATGAAATAGCCGTTTTACTATACAAATATAATTATATTTTAAAAAAATATAAATTAGGGGGCGGAAATTTAATATCGCGCATAAATTCTATTGAAATTTTTATTTAAAGTTTGTATCCGCGTTTGTGACACTCTTTATTTCATTTCGTTAGGGTTTGACAATGGGGATATGAATCCACTTTACTTGAAATATGAAGGTGCCATAATCATATCATTTCTGCTTTTCTTTCGAAGCGTGAAAATATTGAGATTTAATCCTGAATTTACGCCACTATGCTACCTCATTTTTGTCACATTCCTCATTTGATAGTCAATATTTTCTAAAGTTAGTGGAAGTAAGTAAAGTCTTATATACCATCTTATCGCTAATCCTTCAGGTTACAAAATAAAAAAAGAATTGTAATGATTCATTATGAACAGTGCAAGAAAAATCAAATAGAAATGTGAATATGTGATGTTAATTTTTTAAATTTAAGAACTAAAGCCTAGTGAACTAAATAAACATAGTTATATAGAGATACTAACTGTATTATAAATACAGTTAAAGGTATGGACTATCACTATATATGAGTAAAAAATTGTACTTAGTGATAATATTATTTATTCGATCTTTACCGGTTTCGGCTCACATTAAAGAGCCATCCTCAGAAGATATCTCGTTAGTATGGAAAATAATTAAATGGTAAATGATAAAATCTTGATAAAATTTTGCATATGTCAGCAGATTAAAATTTCTTGTATAATAACGATCACAGTTAAAACACACAACAAAATCGACAATAACAACGTCATCACTATATAACTCACTATATATCACTATATAAACTCACAATCAGTATATGTATATTCAACACATTGCATACAACCGTACAATATAATCAACAATACAACAATCTTAACAAAATTAAAGACCCGAAAAATTCTTAATTAAACATCCGGATAGTAGTAAAAAAATCATTCTAATGAGAAAAAAAAATTCCTATATTATATGCCAGTCATACAGTAAGCCAAATACCGCATGATTATACCACAAAAAAATGACCAATTTTTGTATTTTGTCCTCCTAAATTTGAGAAATTGACCACTGGGAAACGCAGAATACGATGGGGGATGAGGTACGGAATATGCCAAGAACATATTAGGACTTGTTAACTGGAAAAGAGCATTAGAAGACAGAGATGGATGGAAGAGGAAAATTGAGGAGGCTAAGGCTCGAATTGGGTTGTAGTGCCGTTATGAATGGTGGGAACACGATCAAAGAGTGCCTTCAGATCGGCTGGTAAACGAAGTCTGGGATATCGGAACTGAAACACTTCGGAGGAGAGGAAGATTGGAGATTATGTATATTTCTAATAAATTGACAGTCGAGTGAATATTTTGTGGGAAACCTTCTCTTTTATTCTTATATCTTCCATGCCGCACCTTTTACTCTCCTTATCAATTTAACTACTTGATTATCCTTGACGACAGGGCACATTATGGAAAAAAATAATTAATTTTTGGCTTTGATTTGAAATATGCTTCCATGAAAAAGGGATGGCATGAGAGAGACTTAATAAGATCTAGCATTAGGCAGTCGCAGAGAATTGATAGGAACAACATGAATACAGAAAACGGTCTTCTCCCCCTGGAATTGATTAAAATAACTTATCGATATGATAAAAACAACTTATTTGTAATTGGTAATTAATGTTAATTGATTATTAATTAGTTTCTTCATGTACATATTGTTAAGTTCTATCCGATTTAGTCATTTCGAACTTGGTTCTCATGGACAGTTGCAACATGGCGTCCGAAACGTCAAATCTTTTTATCAAAAAACACTGAAAGTTAGTTTTTCTTCCTAAGTCTAGTTTTAGAAGAGTAAGATGACTTAACAAAGGTAAGGTATCTTACCTTTGTTAAGGCACTTAATAAGAAGTATGCACAGTACCTCTTCTGCGATTGTTCTTCCCTTCTTTAACATCTCGCTAGTGATTGTATATTCTCTGCGGCACTTTTGTTTTTTAATTATTTCAGCGCTATTCTTATTTCCTGTTTAGTTGTTTCCGGTATATTCTCCGATAAAGCGTTGCAGATGAGTGTTGATTTTGTTTTCGGATCAGGTGTCGTTGAGGAGTAGAGTTGAGCATAAAGATTTTCCACATACTTAACAATATCTTGGATGTTACTGATTATAACTCTTCGCTGATCTTTCATATTTATAACATGGAGTCTACCTGTAGAAAGTTTTCATGTTAGAGTTTTTCGCTATAACATTTTTTATCATTTCGGTATTATATATTCGAATATCTCTTATGATTCCTTGGGTAATGTTTTTGTTCAATACAGTAGACTTACGACCTTACCGTTGCCGGATTATTGGAAATCGGGCTACATCTCCCACGATCGTAAAACAGTACGACATAGAAGAGTTACATAACCAAGACATTTGCGGATAATATGTATAGTTCTCCAGGTTGAGTAAATAAGAATTTTGAAACTCGAACAAAGGTCAAAATCTAATGTATTTTACATTTTCGAATGTAGCATAGTACATTTATTAACAACAAAAGTTAAAAAAGGTCATTTAAACCAAAATCACGGATGTCTTTTTGCTTCCTTGATTCACAAGGAACTTTGTTATACAAGTTATTTTTCTGCATATGTAAATCAATGTCTACGCAATTGTAACTAGAGCTTGTTTCAACAAATATTATAAATTGTTGAATATGTAGATCCATTCTTTAACCAGTGCGGTGATTAAATAAAATTCGAAATAAATGTATTACAACTGGTTTATTTTAAGTTTAAGTTCAACCTGACATGTTTCGGTATATTAAATGACCATCATCGGAGGTATCGTAAAAAATGACACACGAGGAATAACATATAATAAAATAAAATAGCTGCCAGCAGATATGTATGGAAGATGTCTTTGTACAAAATATCAGGAAATATTTCCTGATATCAGTTGAAGTCAGGTTGAACTTAAACTTAAAATAAACCAGTTGTAATACATTTATTTCGAATTTTATTTAAATATTATAAAGTTCTGTCGTGCATCGGCCGTTTCTTTTCATCTAATTCGCTGGAATCTCATCTACATCATCATCCGAATCTTGCTCAACATTCACTGGTTGAGGATCCAGAACACTTTGTAGTTAGTTCGTCCTCAGGTGGTTCGTTCTTATCAATCTCTACCCATTCTGCAATTTCCTCTTCAGGTATATTTTCCTTCCGGATTGTCTTCAGATTTATTTGTAACACTTCATGTATTATATCTAAGGTTTCTTTTTTATTGAGTTGAGATGTTCTACCAGTTTCGACGAATGCGTTTGGCCGTATCAGAGTGCGCTAACATACAGTATGTCCCCGGATTGTGTCCCCGTAAGGTATAATTGACGATAAATTTTTGAATTCAAATTCCATCTTTTGCAATTAAAGTCTGGATGTCATAAAACGAAATATAACCAAGTTTTACGTCAAATATCCTCAAAGTACCAAAGTTAACGCAAGAAGTTTGTTAACCATTGCAGGTAAAGTGGTCTTTCTGAGCAATGTACAATAAAAGTTGATTAAAATAAAATGTTTGATATGTTAAATTATAGCGATATGCCGAATTTTATTAATTTAGCATATAAAAGAAAAAATGAGTTTTTTGTTTTACAATAAAAACAAATGACCTGAGTGAACTAAGAATTATCATCTGATAGCTTAGCTTTAGCCTATTGTCAAATATTAATTGATCATGTTTACATTACAATATAAAATATTTATAGTGCACTGCTATGGATTGGGGAACATTAGTTACAATGCAGTTTTAAGGCAATTTGAGGAAAAATAGTAGATAAAAAAACAATTAAGAGAGTTGTTAAAAAATTTTCGGAAACGGGCAATGCGGAAAATAAAAGGAAGGAAAAAAAGCTTTTAGATGAACATGATGGTGACACCACCACCATCATGATTGTTGCAGTAACGAACGCAATGGATTATGGTAAGGTGTCGTATTATAAACCAAAATTTAACCACACTATCGAATTAGGTGATGAAGCAAAACGTTTAGATTATTGTTTGTGGCTTGGGTACAAAATTTTGAAAGACAGAACTTTTTTAAAAAACATAAAAACATTGCGGCCCACATTCGACCATTTTAATTAGAAATTATTTAAATACGTTATTTCGAAAAAAATGGACTGGTAGATATGATCCGCAACCATACTCGCCAAGAAGTCCGGATTTATTTATTATGGATTTTTATTTTTAAGGTTATGTAAAACAAAAAGTGTACTCTGAAAATTTTAATAACAATTTAGACCGTTTAAAACAAAAAAATTGAAACTATTATTAGAGAAATTCCGTTGGACCATATTAGAAAAAGTTATAAACAATGTCGGAAAAGGGCTGAATTACCGTATTTTCTCGAATCTAATCCGCACCCTTTTTACAAATTTTGTATGCTCTAAAATCAAATGCGGATTACAATCGGATGTGGATTACATTGGAAAACCAACTTTTTTTACCATCATTGCATTTTTAAAATCGGGGTGCGGATTACATTCGAGTGCGGATAAGATTCGAGAAAATACGGTATGTGTTAGCGTTGGTGGTGGTATCATTGAATAAGCTTTTATGTTAATTTAGTTTAGATCGAAAATGTTTTGTTAATCTTATGATTTAAAAATCTACAATTTGGTTTTATATCCTACATTAATAAAATTCGGCATATCGCTATAATTTAACATAACAAACATTTTATCTTAATCAACTTTTGTTGTACATTGCTCAGAAAGACCACTTTACCTGCAACAGTTAACAAACTTCTTGCGTTAACTTTGGTACTTTGAGGACATTTGACGTAAAACTTGGTTATATTTCGTTTTATGCCATCCAGACTTTAATTGCAAAAGATGGAATTTGAATTCCAAAATGTATTGTCAATTATACCCTACGGGGACACAATCCAGGGACACACTGTATATGGCATCCATGACATTATATATTTCTGTTCAAAGTCAGTTATGTCACAATCAGAGTTTAATAACTCCTGAAGAAAGGAACTTCTATAAAAACATTTGGAATTTTGAATAACCCCTTGATCTATAAGTTGATATCTATAGGTTTCTTATAATGAGGTAACATTTGGACGCAAAAATGTTGCCAAAAACCAATTCTGTTATTGGTGGTTAAGCTTTGCAGTTATCCAAAAGAAGGCGGGCTTTCTTGTCTTCTGGTAGTTTAAATTTTTTAAAGTTAACGTGTGGGACAAAGTGGTGTAAAAACCAGTCTTTAAATAATGTGGCAGTCAGCCACGCATTTTGTTAGACATCGTAATGAATAAGCAAAGGTTTAATATTCTTAAACGCCTTTGGCTTTTAGATTTGCCAATTACAAAATGTGTTAGTCGACGGTTTCTAATGCATCTGGAAGATAGTAAAACTGTCAACCTTTTTTTTTTTAACTCTTAGCTGACTTTTCTTCTNATTGGTAGCAAGTTACGAGTGGGTTAGGGATCCATTTCGAACTACCCACGAAGGTCTCTCAACTGCAGAAGAAGAAATCTTCATACACTTTACTGCAAGGGACGAAATTTAGTAATAGAGAGAATTTAGTAATAAAACTCTCTTTGAATTTTGGGCGGGAGTGGATGATGCATTTTCTCCACTGAAAACAAGAGCATTTCGTATATTATTGCCATTTTCAACATCCTACCTTTGTGAAGCCGGATTTTCTGCGGTGGCTGCTTAAACACAAAATATAGGACTCGACTGAATATAGACCAAATAACTGAGAGTGGCTATTTGTAATATAAAACCTTCTTTTAAAAAACTTTGCAGTGCGAGACAGGCCCAAGAGAGTCACTAATAATAATTATAATCATTACAGCTACTTTTAATTTAGTACTGATGAGTCTATTATTATTTTCATTTGGCATTTGACAGTACCTACTGATACAATCATATTTATAGTAATTAAATACATAGGTAGTAGTACGAGTGTATTAGTTTAAATGTGTACTGTACTTACTTAAATTTTTGGAATGTCAGAATCACATTAATTTTTGATTAGTAATTATCTTTTTTTTCATTTTGATGTGTTGGCGCCCCCCATGTAGAATTATCACGCCCCCCCAGTGGGGCGCGCCCCACAGGTTGAGAAACGCTGGTATAGTGGTTTGCAGATCCTTCATTTGCTGATTTTGTCCTGTAACGTCAAATCTTCGAATTCCCTCTATATTCAAATTTTCTTTAAATTTTTTGGCTTTTTTAATAATCATTGGCCACTAATTATCTATTTGTACAAGACGCTGCCCAGTTGTTCCAACTTAAGTTTTCTAAGAGTTTGCCACGAAACAACTTTTTCAGATACAGATTGGGAAACAAAATGCACGAGTTCATCTTTTTGTTTTTTAATGTCATAAATAGTTGAGTCAACCCAATATTAAATTCATTCATTCGTTTGATGATTTCCAGTTTCTGATTAATGGTGAGAGTAACGTGTTTTCTTTTCTGTACAGAGTTTTTATCACTTGGCGTTTTATAAAACATATACTCGTTACTCATTTTACGCATTTTGAACATCTGTAGTGACCTTTATGTCCATTTCCATTTCGTTCAAGGCGCTGATTACTCCGATTTTCTTTTTTAGTACCTCTTGGTATTCGTCTTTATTTTCTTTCAGTTATTTGAGTGTGGCAATTTTGGCTTAGGTATCAGTTTGTGTTTTTTTCATCCTCTATGCTATAATGTAATCAATCTCATTCTTTGTTGCAACATCTGGACTTGCTCATATCCACTCTATCTGCTTGAGTTTTTTTAAAAAGGTATTGTAGCAGTACAGGTTTTTCTTGTTTAGATAGTTTGCCAACATCTTTCCACGTTGGTTTTTAGTACCAAGACCAAAATTTCTTTGTCCAGTTTTGGATAATCATCTTATATTTGCATTTCTCTGATTCTATTGTTTTAGATAGGTCTTCGAGAAACATAATCACCTCCTCGGCGTTCGATGTGTTTGTAAGTGCATACCTTTGAATGATGGGACGCCGTATCTTTTGTTTATAATAGTTCTCAACTTTTAAAATAAATCCTTCATTATCAGAATTTTCGTGGTATCCAGTTCATATTCGTTGGTTCATCATCAAATGTGACAAACACTTTAAAACTTTAAGTTCTTCTTGGTAATAAGGAACAAATTAAGTTGCAATAACTTGTCAACTTTAATTAAAATCATTAATTGCAACTCTTTATCATTATTTAATACCATATATTTTTAAAACAAATTTGAAATGTGGTTATAAAACGGATTAAAAGTTGTTTTAATCTTATCGATATAATTAAATCGTTTTTGACAACTTTTAATCTATTTTATAACGTTTTATTGTTGTTATGTAAGAATTACACGTTAAGCTATTTTTTTCTTAAGAAATAAGTTTTTATTCATCGACCAAAAAAAGTATATACAATATCTAAAATAACTTAAGGCTTCAACAAAGCTCACATCTCTCAGTTTTTTTTTATATTTTTGTCTTATTTTAATTCTGTAAGCATAGAAAAAATGTCTAAAACTTTCTATTTTTGGTATAAATTTCGTATAATTGCAACAATTATAATCACAACAATGTCAATAAAAAAGGTGTTGTAAAATTATGAACACACACTTTTTTTTTAAATAGATATATCTGTTCGTTGGACCCTGATTTAAATTATTTTTATCTATTTTTTTATCATTCATTTGTGATTTATTTAAAATTTATATTTATTTGATTTTGTTTCGTGTACAATTCGTCGTCCATCGAATCCCCATGGCGAGTTTTTTCAATTTTATTAACGTGCCAAAAACCACGTCCCAACTTTGACTGCTAATCCCAAATCCTAAAAATAAATTACAAAAACATTTTTGTTATCTAAATAAGTAAATAAGATTAGATGCTTTTTTTAATTATATACCTGATTCATGTTCTGAAAAGTGATGTTGGTTGTGGTAGCGTTTCATAACGTATAAATAAGATCCTACATTTGGATTACCATGATGAATATAAAAATGAATCATATCATATCCAACGTATCCTACAAAAAAGGATAATCAAAACATTTTCCTAGATAATAAATCAATTTTTATTACCCAATAATGTTCCTCCTCCTATAATTTCAAATAAATTTTGTGGGAGTATTGATGAATAAAGATAATAAAGAACGGCAGCGATTAATCCGGCGGGAAACGGAGGAAAAACCAACCGTCTAGAATCAAAAGGCACCTAACACAAAGTTTTGAAAATACTTTTTTATCAATTCATCAATTTTTTTGACTCACTTTGTGATGCAAACCGTGAATTGTGAAATGAACGATGATCATCATTTTTGATTTTCCAGATGGAACGATGTGAAAAACCCATCGATGTAAAGAATATTCCGCCAACGTCCATAAAACAATACCGAAAAATACGGAAAGGCCACAAATTGGTGAGAATTTAATTATTTCTACAACAAAATTTTTTATGAATTGTTATAAATTGTAATTTTGGTTTATTACCTGTATATGTTTGTGCATTTTTTATTGTTCCTAGATAAATAAAAACGAAAGCGACCGGAATCCAAATGATTGGCACCAAGTACCAAGGGGTTATTGTTAATGTTTCTAAAACCGGATGGCCGAAGAGGCGCATTTTTCTGTCTACAGGTGAGTTTACCCATTCGTAGTATTTTTCACCTAAAGATGCCACTTGTCCAAACATTGGTTTATTCCAATCTACAATATCCTAAAAAAATCAAAATAACTTTAAATAATAAGTTAGAGCCAGTATTGTGTGATTTATCATGGTATCAATATTGATTTCATCCAAAAAAAATCACGAGCATTTAAAGATCTAAAATGATTCAGCCTCCAGATGTAAATAAATGAATCAAGCAACAAATATTTATTTATCATTAACAATTTGTTCATTGCTATCATTATCACCTGTTTTTTTATCAATAGCATTACTCATAATCTTTGATTTTTGAATATTCGTTGTTATTAAAGATTTTATGGTTGGTATTAATCTTTTAAATAATCATCATTTTAATCCTACAGTAACGTTTTATAGTTAATTAATTTGTGATGTAAAATAAGCAACATTTATTATTTTAAGATAATACATTAAATTGAAAAGTATAAAAAATTAGTTTTAAAAAATAACTGAACATAATTTTAAATGTTATATAAGGGACCATTTAATTTCAAGGTCATCAGTTACCAACTTAATTTTTTTCGTTTCGCTTTAAAATATTACTTTATCCTACCGGAAAAAGCAACAATTTTAAAAATTCTGCAGTATCTAATGTTGCAGAACCCGTGCAATTACTAACAGAAATTACTATTTGTTTGGCTACAAACCTCACAACAGCTCAAAAAGATGTCCTAATAAAATGTCAAAGTGATATGTGACAGCTAAATGACAGCTTCGAGAAAAAATAACTTGATAAATTTTCAAAATGCGAAGTTATACATTCTGAATAAGTCAAAATAATAAATCATGATTTTTAAATTAACTGTTTGAGAGCAAAATGACAAGTTACCCTTTCTCTAGGAGTCTATCGGGACATATGTGTCCCATGTATGTACGTTTTCTGATTTCTATAAAACAATGAGCCGTCAATCGCTCACCGAGACGAAACTCGAAAGAGAAGCAAACAGAATATTTGAAGGTGATTGGAGTGATGACGAAGAAGATCCAGATCAGATAAAAATTATAGTCCCATAGACAGCGACACAGAGTCTAACATATCTACTGACGACTGCTCTAGTGATAATGCAATGGCGGCACATGAAATAAACCATGACGACGAGATTGTCCAGGAAAATAATGAGATACTTGAAAGTGAAAACGTGGCCACTGCTTCAGATGGTGTAAAATTTTGGACTAGCAGTAATCTATAATTTACTCCAAGATCCCATTCCCCAAAATGTACCAGCTATTTCTTATCTACCCAGAGAAATGAAGAAAATCGACGTATTCTTGAAGATTCGAATTGCTGAATTCACTAACGCCAGATTGAAAATATTTCACAAAGATATCAAGAAAAAGAGAGTAGAAACAGATTATCATGAAATAATGATTGTAGTATGTGTATCCTTCATAATGTGCTACAAATGCTACAATCGTGAGCCAGGATCCAATAACTACCGGTCTAATAATGAATCATTGGGCAACAGCGCAATAAAAAAAGCAATTTTCAGAGATCGTTGTAAATTGTTATTATCCAAAATGTACTTCAACGATCCAGAAAAATTTAACGGTTCGGGAAAGATATATTATATCGAAGAAGTAGTCAACTGTCTCAAATCCACCTTTACTAAATATCGTTCTGACTCTACTTTTCAAAGTATTGACGAAATTCACTAGTTGATTCTTCGCTCAAGCAATACTTACCAATGAAACCAATCAAATTTTGGGTAAGCTTCGATTCACTCGCAGAATATGTTTATGATCTAAATATTTATGCTGGTAAAGAAATGGATGTCTATGAAGGGACTTGGCGGAAGAGTTGTTCTCAAATTGTCAGGCACAATCAAATGCATAAATGTACTATTGAACACTTGATAGGTTTTTCTCTTCCGTTCACTTACTCGATACTATCAAGTTTCCTGCTGTTGGAACTCTGTGATCAAATTGTTGGGTTATACGATTTTGATCGAAGATCCAATAAGTGGTGGAAAAAAGTTTTTTTCAAACTACTCATGATGGCTGCAAGGAATGCTCATATCCTCCACGATGACGCAAAGCGCACAAAAACGTCATTCCTACCATACCTAATTACAATAGCAGAAGATCTCAATCATTGGGCCGATCTCGTAAAAAGAAACCTACACTCTGAAACGTGGGAGATTATTGACCCATTCACTCTGCCAGACGTCGTTGTTCGGGATGCACACAATAGCAAAGGGAAACCAGAATCAAAACTCTGTGTCAAATGTGTAACATATCATTTAAGCAAAACATGCTTCATTCCGTATCATCGGCAATAATACGAATTACGTGTTTCTCTATATTACTTCTATATGAATAAAATTATTTTCAAGGCTATTGGGTTTTATGTGTCCCACCCAGTGTCTTAGTGGGACGAATGTGTCCCAGCCCTTATCGCATGAAGGGCATAATCTACATTTATATGCAATATATGCATTATATGCAAGTAAAATATTACATAAAAACTAAAAAATTAAATGCAAAATAAATCCGGCTACAAAGGTTAAAATGTCAAGATGACAAGTTATGACGTCGAGATGACAGCTTCAAGTCGAAATAAGTAGAGAAATTGTCAAAATGACATGTTATACATTTGAAATATGTCAAGCTGATAAGCTACGATATTTAAATTAACCGTTTGATGCCGAAATAACAAGTTAAAATGTCAAAATAACAAGCTACGATGTCAAAATGACAAGATGAGATGTCGTAATGGCGACTTAATGCCCAGATGATAGGTTATGATGTGGAAATAACAGCTTCAAACCAAAATAAGTAGATAAATTGTCAAAATGACATGTTAAAACGGCAAAACGAAATGTATACATTCAAAATATGTCAAACTGATGAGTTAGGGTTTTGAAATGAACTGTTTGATGCAGATATTACAAGTTAAAATGTGAAAGTGACAAGTTACGATATCAATACGACAAGATGAGATGTCGAAATGGTGACCAATGGTGACTTAATTCCAAGATGACAGGTTATGATGTGGAGATGACAGCTTCAAGCCGAAAAAAGTAAATAAATGAACAAAATGACAAGTTAATCGTCAAAATGAGAAGTCATACATACTGAATATGTCAAACTGATAAGCTATGGTTTTTAAATTAACTGTTTGATGCCGAAATAACAAGTTAAAATTTCAAAGTGACAAGTTATGATGTCAAAATGACAAGATGAGGTGTCGGAATGGTAACTTAATGCCAAGATGACAGATTATGATGTGTAAATCACAGCTTCAAGCCGAAATAAGTAGATAAATTGTCAGCAGGAGAAGTCATACATTCGATATACGTAAATATCGTAAATTATGATGTTTAAATTAACTGTTTGATACCAAAATCACGAGTTAAGATGCCAAAATGACAAGATGAGATGTGGTAATTGTCATTTAATGCCAAGATGACAGAATATGATATAAAAATGACAGCTTCAAGTCAATATATATAAGTGGATAAATTGTAAAAATGACAAGTTAAAAATTTAAAATGAGATGTTATGGTTTTTAAATTAACTGTTTGATGCCAAAATAACAAATGTCAATGTGACAAGTTCCGATCTCAACATGACAAGTTATTTATCCTGATAGTTCTCATTATCTTTCAATATCGTCTCTGAACTTGTCTATCATTATTCACAGCATCTCTGAACGCCGCACTTCACATTTCTTAATATAATCATATATGTATATTTCTTGGTGTATGTAATTAGTGTAATTACTAATTATCCCCCCAGATATTTCCCAATAGCATCTTTAATATTTCTCAACATCGTCACTGATAAACTTGAATCAACAACCTAGATCATTCCTAGCTTTTCTCAACTGTATTTGCTGCATCAACACTTTTCCTCACTTATTTGAACATTACCCTTAATAANGAAAAAAGTAAATAAATGAACAAAATGACAAGTTAATCGTCAAAATGAGAAGTCATACATACTGAATATGTCAAACTGATAAGCTATGGTTTTTAAATTAACTGTTTGATGCCGAAATAACAAGTTAAAATTTCAAAGTGACAAGTTATGATGTCAAAATGACAAGATGAGGTGTCGGAATGGTAACTTAATGCCAAGATGACAGATTATGATGTGTAAATCACAGCTTCAAGCCGAAATAAGTAGATAAATTGTCAGCAGGAGAAGTCATACATTCGATATACGTAAATATCTTAAATTATGATGTTTAAATTAACTGTTTGATGCCAAAATCACCAGTTAAGATGCCAAAATGATAAGATGAGATGTGGTAATTGTCACTTAATGCCAAGATGACAGAATATGATATAAAAATGACAGCTTCAAGTCAATATATATAAGTCGATAAATTGTAAAAATAACAAGTTAAAAGTTCAAAATGAGATGTTATGGTTTTTAAATTAACTGTTTGATGCCAAAATAACAAATGTCAATGTGACAAGTTCCGATCTCAACATGACAAGTTATTTATCCTGATAGTTCTCATTATCTTTCAATATCGTCTCTGAACTTGTCTATCATTATTCACAGCATCTCTGAACGCCGCACTTCACATTTCTTAATATAATCATATATGTATATTTCTTGGTGTATGTAATTAGTGTAATTACTAATTATCCCCCCAGATATTTCCCAATAGCATCTTTAATATTTCTCAACATCGTCACTGATAAACTTGAATCAACAACCTAGATCATTCCTAGCTTTCCTCAACTGTATTTGCTGCATCAACACTTTTCCTCACTTATTTGAACATTAGCCTTAATAACTCTTGTGACTGTCTTTGTTTTCAACAACATTTCCATCAAATATCGATATGGTTGTAATTACTGATATCTTTAAATACCTTCCCTGAAAACTCTTAACATGGTTCCACTTAACATTTTCCAGTTTCGTCTACGGTCATTGCCAACCTTGCTATATCCCTATGTATAGGGTAGTAGTGGAACTGATATCCGGCCTATCCGGTCATTTTTTAAAATCCGGCTTTGGCCTTTAATTACTACGTACTCCACCATTCACAGAAATTAGTATCTCTTTTAGGTGTT